TCTCCTTTGAAAGCCTAGGAGACCCAGTCTGCACAACCAAGAGAATGAACATCTTGTACTTTAGGGAACCTTAGCGCCCCATCTGGTAACAGTCCCCGTGGGTAAAGAGGGAAAGGCGAGGGAGTGGGGGCGATTGGGCCTTGCCTTCCCTTTTATGCCCTGGATTTTTTTTGTTCCTGGAAATCTCTCTTCCTGGCCCTCCACGTTTGGACTCTTTTTTGGCCCCTGGCGTGGTGATCTGCTTTCATCACGGCTCCTATCTTAGGAAGGGTGATCCTGGCTTTCTGGGACGAAGGAGGAGGCCCATGTGGCATTGGTCAGCTGTAATCTGTCGCCTTTGGAAGAGTTTCTCAACCGTAAAATAACAAAACAAAATAGACAAACAAGCATGCCGTCTTTGATAAGCATGTGAGTCTCATGTCCTTGCCCTCTGGACCTCACACCTGCTGTCTGCAAGAAGATGGCAAAAGAGTCTGGGTTGTAGAAAATTCTCCAAATTCTTACCACGAAGACACTTTGGATGAATTTACTATCAGTTGAACATGCCTCTCATCTTCTTTCTAGAAGTACACATTACAATATCCTTCTTTGAGTTACCTGTGTCTACTGCAGTTCTGCTAGGTTTTTCTGGAAGGGGATATTGTTTTTGGCCTTAGGTGAAAATCACTGCTCAGAACATCCAGCCAGAGATGAAGAGGAGAAAACCAGAGATAGGATCTGTGGACAAGCTCACAGTTTTTGGCCTGTGCTGTTTACTGCAGGCTTGTAGAAGGGCATTCCGCCTCCCGCCTCCTGCCTCCCGCCTTCTCCTTCCCCTACTCTTGTGGCCAGGGGCAGTGGGGCTGATGTTTCACAGGACCCAGCAGAGGTCCTGGAGTCAGAAACTGCTGTTCTCAGAGGGTGGTCCAGGACCAGCTGCGTCAGCATCACCTGGCCCCACCCAACTATACTGAATCCCAAACCCTAGGGTGGGGCCCAGTGTTCCCATGCACTCCTAAGTGTGAGAAGCACTTGCTGTATTGGAGAAACCCCTGCTCAGGAGGTCAGAAACCAAAGCAGGGCTGTATTGCTAGCATCAGGTATTTGGAAATACCTATAGAGCAAGCCGTTTACATTTTTCCTCTTAGGCTCAAGTATTCATTCTAATTTAGGTTTCTCAGGCAGCAAGCAAATCCTGATTTAGGCCCTTTAAAAGGCAGGGGTCAGCTGAACTAATCTAACAAGGTCTGTTCTCGTTCACTCATTCACC